TATGGTTGTACGGCAGTGAAGCATCAGTGCCCACACTGATGTTGCTGTCTTTGATGATGATGAATTATCGGATGCTCATTGAGCAGTTTGAAATTAAAGAACAATTGTTTGGCCATTCACTAGTAGGCACGTCCCCACCAAATTTCAGTGCATATGCGGAACCAAGTAGAAACTATTACAAGCATAAATTTGCTTTTTTGCTGGCCGCCTGCAGCTGTTGTTATTGTTCCGTCGGCTGAGAGCGAAAATGTGAACTTTATGGACGGTCCTGTTAGTTTGTCACAGGACACATTCCGAAAAAGGCAAACCTTCCGGTGTCTCCTATTACGTTCCATCTTCATTTTCTCCGGCTTGCAAGCATTCCTTTCAACAGTGCTTGATTTGTGACACCATTGCAAGCGATAGCTGTAATCTGAAATCTCTATCACCTGCGACTTGTCATTGGAACTCCATTCATAAGGTGCTCCTTCTAACACAATAAAATCCAACTGCAAATTCCACTGGCCTGCCCAGCAGTTTATTCCAGTCCGGCGTACCGATTTTGTCTTATCCCTGTACCTTGAATCCCCGTGGTATTCGTGCCAATTTGGCATATTCAACCACGATCTTGACAGGCTAAACACGGTGGAGGTGCGGTCTAAGCGAAATTTTGTACAACGGACAGTGCGGGTGTACTTCGACGATAAAAGCATTGTGATCTGAATATAGCCTACGGTGGTCCATTTTCTGGATTCTAGAGTAAAATACGATGTGTGCCATATCTCTCCGGGGCGGTTTGTAGCAACTGACCGGATGCTTCTATCCATTTGACAACACTTCTTCGGTATTGAAACTCTGGTGTGATTTCTTATCACAATGAGGAATTTTCTTTGTAATAGTAGGCGGATCCAACATTTAGGATAGAACGTCACTAATGGTAGGTTTTCTCTGTTTCCCCCCCTAGACCAATAGGAAGCACAGCCGTGATGAGTTGTTTGACACTCCCCTCGACCGCCACACAAGGTCTGATGCGGAACGTGCAATTGAAGAGGCTAAGCGATCCAGTGGCAGGTTGTTCCTCAGCATTGAGTTTCAGTTCTCACGAAACCAACCCAACCTCAACATTCCTGTGATATTCGAGCGCCGGGTATGCACAGTGATGACACGCTGCGCTTATGTCCACTCTTTTTAAGCTGTTGTCCTTTTCTCTACTCTAACCGGTGGCTAACAAGTGATTTTATTTGATTTTATGAATCGTCACACTCAGTAACCACATCTTCCCTCTCCGGATGTCGTTCAGCTGTAGCACCCTTTCGTTGCCTAGCTGCCATGCCACACGAAGGAGGCACGAGCGCCGGGATACTCCCAGGTCGCCCAAGCCTAGACAGGGGAAGTCGAGTAGCAGAGATCGGGTTCGAATCACGGACCTTCCGGTCAGTACATTCGCGCTCTAACCACTTGGTCCATCTCGCTCCGGATGTCGTAGATTAGGCAAGATGTGTGAAGCCTAGAATGGTGTCAAAATTACCACTGGAATTATTTTTCTGCTGGATTTTAATGTTTCATCAACTGGTATCCTCAGCCGTCAGCCATTTCCCTAGTGGTTTTTTGAAGCAAAGTGGGTTGGCCCGAATTTTAATTGCTGCTTTTTTGTGGTTGGCCGAACGTTGTGAACGTGAACGATGGTCATGATATATTTCCCAAAGTACGAGCCGTAGTTTAGTGTAGAGAACTGCAAAATGCTTCTCATCTTTTCTTGTTTTTCATTTTCCATAATATGATGTTGTCTTAAATACAACAAAGGCTTTTTGTCAACTGAGAAACCTGCGTGTGTTTCCTATTTCCTATTCAGCTCGAGATTCGAAAGCACGAACTTTCGATAGCACAAGTCTACGCGTTGTTTCTTAATTGTTCCTAAAAATGCTGACCTAAGATCCTCATCGTATAGCCGCGACACTTATACAGGCAAGTAAAAAGTTGATTAGATTACGCGAGCCGTGTTTGTTTGACTATAAGCCATTATCGACCTTTAGTATTTTAATAAATAAGCGGTTTCAGTTTGCATAGTCGGGTTGAGCAGTGTTTGCGGCAATGAAAGTCCCCATCAGCTCCAAAGTGATTTTTGATGAGGTCAACTAATTTTCACGCTTCGTTGCTGGATTTCGTACACCGCTTATGGTCGATACAAATTAGTGAAATGCGTCGCACTAGTCCCAGATAGTCCGTAAGACCAAAACGTCTCCCAGACAGATAAGAAACTACTATGCAAGGGTCGGAGCAGCGATGTGGACATCGCTGTACGGTGTATCTCAGTCCTCCACGGCAGGTTGACTGTCTTAGTTAGGGGAATCAGACACTCATCGGAAAGGTTCTGATGAATCTTGAATCTTTCGTTTGACTAATTTTATTGACATAGATTGATCATGCAGTGTCCGTTGTATTTATCCGGCTACTTGTGAATAAGCCAAACTGTGGGACAAATTGACATGAAGTTTATATAAAATTGTCTTGCTGTTTCAAACTTTTTCGCCCAACTACAATGAAGGGTTGCCCACGCATAGATTAGAGTAGCCGAGAAGCTAAAGATTGGTTTAAACCACGTACCTACTGGTTATTAAATCACGCCGCAAGTTGTGACCAATTTAGGACTCTGTTGATTTCACTAGATCATTTGAATAATACGTCGGCGCATTGTTTCGGTGTAGAAAGATCGGTTTTGGGGTGAATTTTCCTATAAACCGTCTTCATTGGACTTTTTAAGCGCCAGTTACCGCCGTTTGGCCGTGTTGTGGTGTGCGAGACTATCTTAAGGCTAGTCATTTCTCAGCTCTTGTGCAAATTAAAGCACTCAAGTTCTCAACTGTTCATTCAAGACAGCTCTTTATTGAATTCATGCTCAATTTTGATCTCTTGTGTACAAAACGACCAGTCTTAACTAATTGGAAAGATCATCATAATTCAGGGCTCCTGAAGGCACATGTGGTAACTTGTTGAGTAATTGTAAATCCAAGTTCTCATAGTGCTTCAGTCTCGGGAATTTGTACCTGGACAAAGATCATCCTTGTTGCCTGAAGCACTGGAAGGCTCCACTCATTAGCTGTGCAATCACTAGTATTTTCGCCGTAAACTAAGGAACCACTGAAGTGAAATACGCTGATTACTTGGCAGTTCGAAATCAGAATTTCGTATGTCGAACGCAGTTTCCGGTTTGCCGTCTACCGAATGCAAGATGAACGTCCCAACAGTCTCTGTTGCTTATAGTTGTTTCCTCGTAATGAATGGAACTTTTGACCAGCAGTAAGCTGGTTTTTTTCATGTCTTGTCCAGATGTTCTCAGTTGTTACGGTTGAACGAAACACTTGAGTTTTCCTGCGCCTTAGTGAGATCGTTTTCTTTGTCTACAGGAAATCGAGCTTTTGGCGTCGGATACTCGTGCTGAAAGGGTGAGTTTACACACTGTGTTTGCCATACGGGCGTGTTTCGTGGCTTTCTGCGCAGTCCTTTTCAAATTAAGATACATGTATGGATTATTTCAGTTCACTGCAATGAAACATTGTATTCCTGTACATCAGGTAGCTTACTTTTTCCTCTGTCAATGTAAACCTGTGTCCCGGTGGCCGTTTAGTCTACCTTAGTTTGTCATACGCATGCTGAATCATATTAGTGACGTCGACCTCTTCGAAACTTTTGAGAACAAAACCCTGTGTTCCGTGTGTGTTGTGATGAATTCGTCCCGTTTAGAGCGACGAATTTTCGTCGGTTCTTTTGCAGTATTCTCTTCAGGGGAAACTCCTCCGACGAGGTTACGGTTCCTCAGAAATGCCACATTAGTGTCCCCTGGTAGCCAAGATCTAGTGTGCCCATCATTTGACGCACTTTTCTTTTCAAATGAGTTATGGCATAAATATTTTTGGAGAGGTTACTGTTTGAACTCATGGTCCAGAAATTGTGAGAATGATTGGGTTTCCTGTCCATAGCAGTGACATTTCTGGTGTTACAGTCGAGCTGTCACTTTGTTAGTTCTTGAATTTCCGTCTGAATCTATCAAGCTTACCCAATTGGAAGTGACTCTGATCTTGATTGGTTCTTATCAATCAGTCTTTGTATCCGCCTGTTTTTAGTGGAATCCAGTTGACGAGAAATATTTCAAAATGACCCGAAGTTTGCGCGTGGCCGACGTGGACCGGAAACGTAAACCAAACAAGGAAACATTGGATCGTTTGATGGTGAGCACCACAGCTCCGACCACGCGGAGAGGACTGTGGTTTTTTATTACTTTTCTGAATAATGAATTCATAGTGGTTCGTCTCGTCTAAGGCCTGCGACGTTTTCAGGTATTTTAGGCCGACAACGCCCTGAGGTATTTTACTCGTTCGTCAATCAGTTCATCTTCGTCTCATCAACTTTCTTAGTAAATTTCTGGCAGTCCTCAATTTCGAGAAATTCAACATAGAATCGCACCGTCCAGTTGTGTCAATTATACACTTTCTTCACTTCCGAATGTACCGCGGTGAATGAGAAAGACAAGCCTATTTAATGCTCGCTTTTTGGGCACTTCTCCCATAAAAACACACAGGGTTAGCATGCACGTTAGAACTCCAAGTGAATTTCTGTATGAAGGTTTGTACTTTGTACTAAACTTCGGTGAATGCTGTAGCACACACACGCCCATCAATCCCCTACATTGTTGCTTTGCTCTGAATTGGCTGTTGAATTTGCATTCTGAATCACGAAGACCTATTTTGCCAAACCTATAGCCTTGAATCTACTGGATTTTGTGGAATTCTACGAAGTCACTTCGACCTTAACCGTGTGTGCCCGTATGAAACCAACAGCATCCCATACATGGTTGAACCATGAGTATACGCTTCGCACCATTCCAATCGGTGTGCCGCGCAGGGCGTTGAAACTCATCGGGGGTTTAACTGTCCCTTTGCTACGGATATCCGATTTTCTGAAGTCAGGCCAAACCGTGTAGTGTTCACTTAAATAATGCATACTATCCTCCACTGTGCTGGAACTCCGTATGAGTGAGAAATTCGGGCAGTTATGGATATGTCTTTCAAGCGGAATATTAGACAATATTCATGCTCACATCCCACGTCGTTTTAGAACAATGTGCTATTTTGCAGTGCCGAATAATCTTTGAGATATCAAATCAACGCTTGCAACTGAGGCAATCACTGAGCTGGCGTGTTTTTTTTAATGTACCTTCGCCACGTAATTTAGAACTGTCGTATGGTGATCGACTTCGTCTACTGCAGCGACCACAAATTGGTCGACGATTACACTCAACTTCCATACTGGTTATGAATATATGAAAATGCCACAATACAGCGAACGTGTAGATTCATCTTTGCCTCGGTAAAAGCTCTCCACAAACGGAGAGCCCATAAAGGTGAGATGGCTCAATGGTTAGAGCGCGTGTTCACTGATCGGAAGGTCCGTGGTTCGAACCCGACCTCTGCCCCTCGACTTCCCCTATCTAGGCTCGGGCAACCTGGCGGTATCTCAGTCCTCGTGCAACCTTCGGGTGGAATGGCAGCCAGACATCGGAAGGGTGCTAACACTGAACGATTTTTTCAATAGCCCATATGGGCCAAAGTCTACCGCAGGGACTTCCAATATTCGTACGGTGCATGCAACCTATGACAAACCGTTTTGTGATTACTAGACTAATAACGGTTTCACAGATGTCCTACGATCACCAGTGTCCTAGGGGATCACTTTTCGCTTCAGTATAGAACTAGTTCAACTGCTTCACCGATTGGATAACGTCTCAAGGTTCCGGTATTTAAGTGGGCACTTTTTTACTTTTAAAACACTATGAAATTGGAGTTAATTACCAGTGAACTACGGTTATACGACTGTTGTTTTGATGGTCAACGACCGAGCTCAAAATCTGCTCATGGTGTGCTCTGCCGTTGGCACACTTCCACGGTGCATTGGTCTGCCTGTGTGAATCATGCAAAGGAAGACACATGTGCGCGTGGACGGGCGCTGGGTAAGACTGCAAGGAGGATACGAACTCGCAAGTTGGTCAACGTATAGTGGACGGAGCCCATTGATGACTAGGTCCAGTTTATACCACAGACTAACACATCAGACTGTTTCCCCAGTTCTGTTCGGCCTGTCTGACTGATCCATGGTACGAAGTGTAGGAGTGCGGCCGATGTTCCAAAAGAGCTTAGCAATCACATACAGCCAACACACAGTTTTGCCTTTCCATACCCTAACTAAACCACGATAACAAATACTGGCAAGGTTTTGCAGCTCGCCACCTTCAAGGTTCACTGTGGTTGATGTGGTGGTTGGTGTTTCCTGGTCAACGCCAGTTTTAAGACTTCACGGCTGGCAGTGGCGTTGCTTCCCTAATTGTCCAGTGAATTGGCCATAAAGAGTCATTCAGAATAAGGGTGTTCCATTGTGGCTTGTCAAATGATACAAGTTTTGGCTGCCTGGATTGTGGACCGGATATTCAGATACCATCATATTCGTTGCTAAATCATCCATGGCTCGCAGCTTCTATTTGATCTTTATGGAAATAAGTATTCTTCGTCATTTTAATGTGAAACAAAGCCTTGGTAGTAAAGTAATACCCATATGACTAAACCAGTATTCGGGAAGCGTCTGGTTTCGCTTTTAAATGAGTTGTTTGGACAATCTTTTGAGTTAAAATGCTTTAGAATTTTTCTTCAGCTTACTGCGAAAGGCCATAGTATCCAACTCTTTGAAAAGTTTGAAGACATTCAATGAGCGAGAGCACTTTTTGCATAAAACACTGGTTATGTTTGTGAGCTCAACTTGGACTTTCAGTTTTACCACCTACAAAACGCCAGGTAGCACTTAGACGCGTGCGCCTCTGTCAACTTGCATTTCAGGTGATTGAAATTGCATCTAACTGATTATTCAGACGTTCTACTATCAGTCGCGAACTAATTCGAGAAAGAAGTAGAAAACAGATAATCCGGAAAACTCCCGAAATCTTCCAAGCGGTCATCATTTCAACTTTGATATTCTAACAGACCGGTTTGATGGTACTTTTTATGTATTTTTGCATGTGTTTGTATTTATTTTTCGAGCTTTCATACTCGATAATGCACGCGGCCGCATTTCGCTTGTTCGGTATCCCACCACGAAAAGTGCAATCAGCTGATGCAAGCGAAAATTCTCGAGTAGTTCTTGAAAGATCCTTGACGGACCAGTCTAACTATGCCATGGGAACGGCCATTTAAGGGTGCAGCTTAATTTTGTTGGACTGTGGCAGTTAATTTTAGCATACAGCCAACCGACGGTTCACTCCCCTCATTTCGATTTCACCTTCATATATCTGTAAGTAGTCCGTGCTCACTCCTTAGAGAATAGGATTTCCTTCTGTGCAAGTTTTGAGGCCTTTGCAACCCACTGAGTAGTGTCTATGGACGTATCCGTCAGACTACGTTTTCCTCACTCCACCGTCTTTTCGTTGGAAGATCTCAAGCGACCGACTGCAAGTAGCCAAATCTTTCATGCGAGCTGAATGACTGCGTTACTGGATCCCGTACACCCACCATTGCCTTCACCCTCTATTACTTGTGGAAAGCCAGTAGCAGTTTCGTTGACCGATTCTTTTTCCCTTCCCTTTCGATTGCATTTCCACAGGGCATATTGGACCAACCTCCAGCACGAGATCTTCCAGAAGCGGACAGTGATCTTGTTTGGCAGCATCGTTTCTATTTGGCTGAAAAATATCCAGAAGTAAGAAAGATCGTAGTTTGGTTCCTATCACACTTCTTTTCTCTGTGATCGGGTTAACTCCGTTTCGCTGACTCTGTTGCGTGCCCGCTTTTGGTGACGATAGTGGTGGTGCTTGCATTGTGTGCGATTGTGTCTGGGAAAGTAGCAGTCTATCGGAATTGACTTGTTTACCACTTACCTGTATCGTGAAATCTGTGCATCTCCTAACATTAGGATACCGACCTCATCAACTTTATACCCACGTTTGTTCCAGTTCGGCAAAAACCTTGTGAGGAATTCTTGTTGTACTCCAGTTTACGCACTCATCCCATCAGGTCGTACACATGCGGTTCAATTGGCAGTTTATCCCACCCAGATTTGTTTGGATACCTAATGATCTGTAGTCGTTTTCTCAAGATACTGTCCGGTGTTGTATAACTCTTAGTCAGGAGAAGAGCCTTATCGATAAATCCGACAGAAGAACACCAAGATGTCTCTTGTAGTGCTATTTAACTTTTTGAAATTGCGGTTCACGAATAGTTTCTTTCAAGGGGCTTGGTGATTAGGGTCAGCAAGTAAGTTGATAACAGACGTTGTGACCTTGAGGATCTTCGCTAACGAGGGTTTCAACCGATACCAGTTGTTTCATAGATTGTTCTCTACACTTTGCCTAACCTGGTAGTTTGCCGAATAGCGAGAAATGAAGACAATTTGTGGCGTAACAGCATTTCCGATAGCCGTCACATAACTCGATGTTAAAAACAGAGGTTTAAAACTTAAATCTCAAAAGAACCTAAATACTGACAACATCTTACTCAGGCCTTTTCGAGCGCGAATGTTTCGTCTGAATTATGTAAAGTTTCAAGAAAACTTATTTACTAGTTCTCTCCCCTGTTATCGTGACTCTGAATGAGTGTGACTTGCAACAAGCGTATATTGCGTGCCTAATCGTTGTATTCTGTTGGCATCTTTTTGCTCGCGGTATACTTGTGAATAGCGAACAGTTCTTTTAAAAATCACACTGGAGCAACTGTCGTCTAACCTAACATGATAAACGCTTGTGACGCACGACTTTCTCTGGCTCTGTGTCTAGGAGCGGATAATTTTGTGCCTACCCATTTATGGTCTGTTCACCTTAGTTTGCATTTGTCATGTTCTCCCGAATACTTTGCTCAGGTTTGCGCCATCTTTGACGAGATCGCACCGTTGCCAAATAATGGGGCTTAACTGCCATAACTTATGTTTGCGCCATCTACCTGTCGTTTATTCATTTTGTCACTGGGATGATTATACTCAACTCACGGGCTAACTAATCCCATATAGGATCCAACTTTGTGTTGGATCACTCCAGTCGGATTGTGTTGTCTTGAGGTTCCAAGTGGGAACGCTTTAACTGAACATTCCGAAATATCGGCCTCATTCACCCCCATTGTAAATGAAGGTACTTCTGGTTCATATCTTCGCAGGCTGCTCTGGCGAAATTCCTTCTTGCAGTGCGTTGGGAATATCCTGAACAGGTAGAGCAGGCTGTAGAACTGTTGCACCAGTGGCCGGTCGTTGCGCCAGAGTATGTGTTGGAGTTGTTCAACCGACAATTCATTCATCTTGCAGTACGACGTTTTGCTGTGCTTCGATTGCATGCTGCTAGGGATGAGGTACGTTTCTGCTGATTTTGACGTTTTAACGTTCTACGATGCCAATACGATTGGCACTGCTATTCCTTTTATTTGTCCCCATTTGTGGCTGTGACGACTTCGCATACCTTTTCCCCTCAATTACACCCCGTTTTTCCAACCATTGGTGTTTCGAGTACGCCGTATTGGAATTCATAATTTCCAACAACATTTTGTTGGATGGGCAGACTTCAAAGTGATGTCCCTCCGAAGAATGGATTCCATGTAGAAGATAACCCTTCGGCATCCACCGGGAATCTTTTTTACGGAAGCGGAGAGACTTCACACTAAATCATGACTGGCGAGGTGAGATATTTTTGTCTATTGAAAGACCGGTCTCTTTTCGGAGAGAGCTATTTGTAGCGAATTCTATGTTTTGATGTTGTCGCTGGCTGACATGGAAGACCCAGTTCAGGACTTGCTCCGATCCTCTCTGTGAGGAGCACTGATTCGTACGTGAGTGAACTTTTCCTGTCGGTTTATGTCTGGCTGTCTTGGCGTAACTCCACCGACTTGAAGAAGCTTTTGTAGAACATATGTGTATGGGTATGTACATGCAACCAGCCCTAATCATCGGAACCTTGGAAAATCGTTCTAGTCTAGTTACGTTTCCATACCGTGTGGCTGTGACTTGTTTTCAATTAGGAAGAGAATTCGTCGAATCCTACGTGTTTATCCCCCGTGCAACAGGAAAGTTGAGTTGCTCTGAGGGTGAGCGGATACAACAGAAAGGCCAGGGTAGCTTTCGAACTATACACCTGTAGTTCAGTGACTCGCTCTGTAACCATGGGAGCGAGATGGCTCAAGTGGTTAGAGCGCGAATTTACTGACCGGAAGGTTCGTGGTTCGAACCCAACCTCTGCGTCTCGACTTTCCTGTCTAGATTTTGCCAACTTGGTAGTATCCCAGCCCTCGTGCTTCCTTCCGGTTGCATGGCAGCTAGGTACCGAAAAGGTGTTGCAGCTGAATGATTACCCAAATAAGAAGTGCGCTTAATGCAATTCCGGATACACAGCTTTCTGGTCAGTTTTCGCTTTTCGGTTCTGAATGGTGCTCACATGTCAAGAAGTCACCTTGATGTCAAAGATAGGAGGACATGCACCAGAATCACACAATTGTATGATGTTTGTCTTCGTTTTAGGGTAATTTATGTTAGAAAAAGCAGTGGCAGTAGCGGTTAAGAGAGTGACCGTTTAATACTACATGATTTCTACTGAACCTGTAAAGTTCTACAAAAATCATATTACTGTGTAAGTAGATAGGAGGAGTCGGTCTGCGCTGCTGAATGTGTATGTTGAAAGTAGATTGCATAAATTACACACTTGTGTGTGATGCCACAGCGCAAAGAGCTGGATCTAGATTTCCATGAGGATTTCCTCGAATTCGCACATGCTTTTAATTCGGATCTGTTTTGGAGTAGTTAGTTGCAAAGCAACTTAAGGTGCGATTGATCAGCTGAACCGAACAGTTTGATTGATAGAATGAATGTTTGAAACAATGAAGGCTTTCAGCAAAGGAGAAAGATTCCTTCGTTACTGGATAACTGCGCTTCACGACCCGTTCTACGTGTGTTCAAGATAGTGTTCCAATGTATCCCATCCAAACACTACTTGTGGGCTCCAACTTCTTGACGCGTGTATTATTCAGACAGGTAAACCAGAGCTGTGGGTGAATTTACTCGCAAGCGTGCTCTGCCTCGCCACTGTTTACGATAACGCAAGGGACGGCAAAACGAGTTTCAAGCAGTTTTTTGGATATGATCTGCTTTTGTCTCATCTGGTGACCGAGCGGAAAGCTTGCAGTAGTTATCAAAAGCACTGAAACTAAAGCTTGCTAGCACCTGAAGGTTATGCTGAAATGGATACGCGTACCTTGTGGAAATGCAGTTTGTTCATAGATGATGAGTTACTGGTCGATTCCGCACAGTCTGCGCTGTGCGGAATATTCGGAGCCAGAAAGGCGAACACATATCCATCATCGGCTTTACAAGCCATAACGCGGCCCTCTTCACCGTAGTGGTATTCCCCTTCCCTTCGCGCCCAAGGAGCGGTGACGCTGATGCAAGAAATTCTGCGTTCTTCATCGCATTTCTTCTGTGCTTCTTCGAATCAAGGCAAGAGGCTTACTTTGTGTTTTCCGTACAGTGCAATATGTGACCCTATGCTTTCATATGACCGACTGGTACAGACAACGTTATTTTCCATCCCCTTCGTTAAGGTTGATTGGCTCACTGCCGTGCCGAAACGAATTTTATTAAACTAGGGGTTTCTTCGGAACGAAAGGTGACAGATAATTACGGCCTGAATCACACCTACCTATCTCCTGGAAATCTTTAATGTTGTTCTCCTGCTCAAAAAACATCCGCTTTAGCCGTTTCTCTGGTGATTTGAATTTTAACGTCCACCTCTCTTATCGAATCGCAAGTCAGTTTTTGAGGCTAATTTTGGTTAAATCCTACTCGCAAGAAGCAAACAATCATATCTGTTTGTTTCGTTTGCGTCTTAGAGTGTTTCTGAATCCATTCCACAGATAGGACCAACGAAACAGTTGTCTCGTATAATTTTGTGGTTGAATTTGTTCGATAAACAGTTGCGTTTGCCGTGTGGTGACGCAATACGAACAAGGGAGTTGTCGGCTTCAGTGATTATTCTACTTATCGCATCTCATTGTGAAATGGTGAACGCTTAAATACCGGAAAGCGCAACCAGTCAAAACAGTTGCTCATGACTGATCCCGGCAACGTTTACCCAGTGGGAAAACTCAGTGTGTTGAGATTTCCGGAATGTCTTCGCCATGAAGGCATGCCGTATTGGTGGTTCGCGACGTTTATAAGCCTTCCCATGGGGTTATATTCAATAGAAGAATTTCTACCGGAATTTCAGGGAAACGATACAAGTCAGACTACCGGACAACTGCCTGACCGATCCCGGTTAAAGCACTTCAAGGCGAGTAGAAACTTTAGCCGTCCGTGTGGGATTCTTAGGTAATATACACCAAACACTGCAGGCGATTCGAGCGCCATAGCACTAAAAATAGCCAACTCCTTTTTTTGGGGAAAATATCGCTTTTCACCGGTTCCTCAGGAAAGACTAGAATGAACTACTTTTGCTCAACACGCAGACAGAGGTACCTGATAATGAAAAGGACCTGCATTGCGCATCAAACTACCCCGTTAAAAGCTTATTATAAGTAATAAGCATTGCGAAGTACTCTTTCCATCAAACTACCCCGTTAAAAGCTTATTATAAGTAATAAGCATTGCGAATGTAGAGAATTCCTGACTCCATGAATCCTCCTAGCAAGACCACCCAACCGATAGAGACAGATGATGGGATCAGCTAAACCATTTCTTTGATGGTTCCGAATTACACCGTACAATCATTCGTTTCCAGGAATTGTTGCTGTACCTCTATCAGTTGGTTCAAGCCTTGTACTACGAAAATTGGCACGACATTCTATCGACTCCGGTGAAGCCAATGGATTGTATCGCTACTGCAAGTGGACTGAACCAGACGTTCCAAAACGCTGATCTTGCCGAACGGTCCCCACAAGAAGACCAAGCTGATCCAGGAGTAGAGAATTTGCCACCAAATGTGTCATCGTCGAGGAAACCCCTGGATACACGCAACGTGTCGGTCAGATCACCTCACAGCCCAAGGTCGCATAATTCTCAATCACTGATTGTCGAAGTTGGTGGACGGTGGATGGAGGCGCTTAAGGATAAGTGGAAGGTAACTACTTTGAGATCTGCAATGAGTTAGTCCTGAGCTTTTCCACACCTTCACACAATTAATCATTACTACCTTCAGGACGCATGTTTTTCCCCCTTATTAACGTGTGCATCCTCAAATAATGATCCAGTAATGTCCCACAGGAGAAACCACCGGATACTGCCAGGTTGCCCAAGCCTAGACAGGGGTATGTCGAGGGGCAGAGGTAGGATCTTCCGGTCAGTAAATTTGCGCTCTAACCACTGAGCCATCTCGCCTACTGCCTACCCTGGCCAAGTACCCCATGACTGGGCATGGTGGCGTGCTCCTGTAATCCAGCTACTTTAAAGCCGTGGAATTTCGCGGCGTTGGGAGTTCTGGTACTGGCTGGTTCATGTTGATCGGGCATCCACGCCGATATGGATGGTCAGCCGGAGGGCAAACTGTCCAGGTCGCCTAAACAGAGGCGAACCGGCCCACGTGGTATAGAGAGCCTTTTTTGTCTTTAAATGCGGTTTTGGACATTCTCAAATGGTAGCCCGTCTTTGGAAGGGCTTTTTGGAATGCCGTACCAAACCAAACACGGTCACACAACATGAGATGCGAGGCGATGTCAGATGTCCATACCGTACCGTCGATTTCACCCGTCGTTTTACTCATTAATTTAAAGTCAACGAAGGTAAGGGGATTCGTTTCCTGATTGGAGCGCATTCATCCGTTAATGTATACATGTAAACCCACTCATAGTCCTGAACGATAGTGAGTTGATTTGGTTACATTCAGGATGAAATTTCGTTCATGGGGGCTTACTGTTGTGCAATTTTGTTGAGTCGTTTCAGGATGTGAGTGCGCCGTAAAAGGGATTCAGCCTAGTAAACAATCTTACTGGCACTTATTTAACATTATTTCAACCAGGTCGTGTGCTCGTCGTGCTATAGGCAATTAGTGATCGTGAAGCGTCCAAGAAGTGTGCATGTAGTTTAGACTTTTGGCAGAGAATGTTACATCGGACGGTATCGTTGATTTGGATGCAGTTGAGGCTAAACCCGGTTGCCGAAATTCGCGGGCTTATGTCCCATACACGAGGTATGGTTTCGTCAACATTGATGATTTATCAAAGGAATGGAAAGAATCCTAATTCTTACAATGTGGCGTGCCAGAAATCTGCCGGACAGATTTTACGTTCAAGGTTGCTTTTTTTTTGTCTCACGGGTGCCTCCATAATAGCTTTCAAATCGATGGCATTCACGAATGAACGTTATTCTTTGTATTAGCCATAGATTTCTTACGAACCTTTAAACCCGCTTTTCAGTTGAGCCGAGTTGGTTATATTAAATCAAAGTGCATGTGTGCGAGAAACATATACCACTATCGTCTCAACTCTATTATCCTTGTGTTTGGACGTGCACACAAGTCACCATAAAAAGTGCATAAAATTGGGTTGCACGTTTCCACCGGTGAAAAGGAGGAAAGCCCTTCGACGCGGAGTTGTTTATTCGAAAACACCAACTAAACGTTTACAAACTATTGAACAGGAAAGCAAAACTTTCATATGCACCTTGTTTGAACGCGTCTTCTTGAATTTTCCTGGATAAACATTGACTATCACGCATTTGTAAACGAATGATACAAAGCAGTTCGATTAATTCCGTAATAAATCCCACCTTTCATTAGATCAAGCTGGAGTTACGAGAAACCACATACTACTCGCATACCTCATCAGTAGTATCCACCATTACATGAGTATTCGGATATATATANGCTCCACTGCCGATATGAATTAATGAGTTTCGCATACATAGGTACTGATTTTCTAAGGTTTTTAAGACGAACGGCTTAGCAAACAGAGCTTATTTTCTATTACTGTCAGGGTGTAGCGTACCAACTCCGGAGGACGTATTTAACAAAATTTGGGCAGTCGTCAGCCCACTTTCGGTGCTAGATATGTAGCTAGCGCGTGCTCAAACTATCGACCGCTTTCGAAAACAAACCGAACAACTTCATGAAGAACGACTGACACTCATCCGTGCAGGTCGTCGCATCTTGCTTCTTATTGTATTGATTTAGTATATACCTGGGATATAACCTTGAAAATGCAATTAATATGCAGGAGGCTCAGAGTGGTCTACGTCAGAAGGATGTAATGACCACATTTTGGTACGTTTTGGGGACCCGTTATTCCAAGGGAAAGGCTTTTGAGCGTGAAAAGGTAGCAGAAGTAGTCAAATGAAACAGTGGACTGGATGTCCGGTTACATACATGTATGAATGTGCGAGCCAATTCGATCTGCGCATCACCTATGAACAGCCTCTACATTTCTTGGCAAAGCGTGGTGGTACGATCCCTTCTGGCAGTTCTGGAACCGCCAGCACCTACTAGTGACGTCTATCCTTGAACACTGATTCATTTTAACATAAGGTTTAAACTAGGTTCTTAACTCAGTTGCCACTGTTATTGTTTGAAGAGCATCAACACCCGAATGTAGGAAAGCAATATTGGTGGACAGGATCGACAGGTTATGGGGGAGGTGGGGAAGGTTCTGGAAAGGCGTTTGGACACCCGTAGTGGGGACTCAGATCGTTTAGTGTTGTGATTACCGATGTGATTTTTTTTAACTCGCTGGACGGCCGAGGGGTTTCCGCGGTGATGGAAGTGGATTTCGCGTTGTACCCAAGTGCTCTTACGGCTTATCTGATAGTTTATCTTCCCTAATCAACATTCCACTTCCACCAAACCTTGTCCTGTCGATCCGCATGATTCATTCGTGCTTCTTATTAACAGGAAGACCTGACTACATTTTTGATACGCCGAGCCCTTTGCAGTTGGCCCGTGGCGAATTATTTATATTGGTTTCTGCGCGTGGAACTGGATGAGCCACTGTCACCAGCATCCGAAATGTACACGCATGTGTTAGAACTGCTACAAAGTGCCCTGTACCATGTGAGTTAGCCGTATTATTGTGTCTTCCTTCCGCTTCTTGATTTTGCACCTTGATTATTTTCCCATGCTGTGCGGATTTACGAAATGTGGTTCCTGCGCTTGCATTCACTCACACGTGTAGTACAGTCATCCTGTCAATGAGACTGTTATGACTTGCTTGTGTTTTTTTTCATTACTGTTTTGAACCAGTTTCTGCTCATGGAAGTCGTCACGTCAGCTTGCGACTACTCTTAATTTGCCGAACAGCGATCTGAGCATATTCATAGGGCTGGGACCAGTACCTCTCACGCAGCCTTGCCATTTCTTTTTCCTCCCCAGTTGCTTTTCTTGATTCTAACCTTTCGTTTACTTATGTGTTCATTCCGTTTGAAACTTTCATATTTTCTAGCGCTTAAACCCGCGCAATATAACACTGGGGTCATCCAGTACAATACTACCACATTTGATTGTTATGTACAGAATTGGATTTGATCATTTTCAGGGAAACGAAACACAACGAGCGTGGTACAAGGAGCTTGTGCGTCAGAGTCTATTTTTAGCGGACCTGCTACAGTTTATCCATAAAGTCATGGATGGTCCTGGTGATCGAATTCGGAAGGTGAGCTAACCAGATAACATGTTAAATGTTAAATCAACCCCATTCCACTTGTCTTTCGCTGCGTTTATTCAAGTCTGTTTCCGTATTTCAACGAAGCTTTCCCATCAAGTTGGTGTGCCGTCTGCCTCTGGATTATTTTCAGATACAGCGCGAATCACGCCATAACCTACTTGAACAAGATTTGGTTTTTCTTGATTATGATTTTCAAAGTAACACTAGTGCATCAATATTACGGCAGTCTTTCATACCGGTTGCAATATAACGCGTGCTGATAAAGACCTTCCTTATGTTCCGCAAGCCTCCTTGCCATGATAAAGGTCAACGCAACTTCGGCACTTCACAAACACCAATTGGATTGATAACAGAGACGTAATCCGAATGAAGTTCGTTTCACAATATTATCATGAACAGTCCATAGGTTTATAGGTTCACGACATCTAAAATCCAGTCACCATACTCCATATAATAAGTCACACAAGCTCACTCATGCTGTCACCAACGGTCATGAAGATCAGCTCCAAATGTGACAGTGTGTTTACCAAGGATGTTCGGTACTGGACGGCGGATTCCTGTTTTTGGATAAAACATGTCACCTTTAGGTTAGCCTAGAAGATACCGATTTTATACCAACCAAAGTCAAGTTCTCGTGTTCTAAGGGATACCACCTTAAGGTTTTGACCCAGTCTTTGCTTTGAGTATTTGTGGTCTCTTCTGATAAGATGGTAACTGTTGGAATAAGCTTCTGCGGGTTCAGCAGAAGTCCTGAGAGGTCCTCTCTGCTGAGGGATATCAGTCCAGGGAGGGACATCTTTAGTAATGGGGCTGTCCACACCAGTCTTCAAAGGCTTCAGTCATAGCCTTGTCACTAGTTATCACGCTCCGAAGGGACAGTCATTAGGGTTGGCAAACGTCATAGAAGACCGTGGTTATTTAGCCCCCGAATCATATTATAGCAGGAAACTATCCTCCAGAAGAGACCTCCAGAAGGACCTATCCGGTGTTGACAAATGTGTATGCAGCAAACTTGGCAACGGATGTTCCAAACTACCGTTCGTCCATCTTTTTTCCCCGGGAAATATCCTCTTTGTATGCTTTCACTACTGTACTGAAGGTTTATTAGTCGATCTAGTAACCAGCGTGGTATTTTTGTCTACCTTATGTACCAATATAGTGCTTTTCCATAAGTGTTCTCTATAGAAGGGACTTGGTCATTAGAAGAGCCCAGAAGCACCTAGCTACAGTTGATCTCTATGGAAGGGAGATTTCGCTGTCAGCACACCGGATAAATGAAAATAATCTTGGACAGGCGATCACATGAAGGACTAATTTTGTCTTCATCCTACCACTCAGATACCTAATTGTTGTAAGGGCACATGAAAACCCAGAGCACAAATTTTGTTGGGAAAGGATCTCATCTTTTATAGTGGTCTCTCAAAAGTCATCCATTTCAGGCCACATGTAACCTATGCGAAGTGATCATCGCCTCTTGGAAGGGAGTTTATTGGAGAGGATACTGTAGTACGCAGTTACTTGCTCTAAAATAGGGTAAATGCGAATAAAGAAATTGTGATCCTTCGAGAAAGTCTGCTACTATCCTGTTGGCTGCTCCACCTCGTAAAAAATCGTTCAGCTGTAGCCCCTTTTCGGTGCCTAGCTGCCATTTCATCCAAAGGAAGCACGGGGGCTGAGATACTGCCAGGTTGCCCAAGCCTAGACAGGGAAGTCGAGAGGCAGAGGTCGGGTTCGAACCACGGACCTTCTGGTCAGTAAATTCACACTCCAATTACTGAGCCATCCCGCCCCCAGCTGTTCCATCAATGCTCGCTACAAGTTTTAAGAAGCGCATCAGCTGTCTAACTCTTCCTCTGATCTTGCGCAGTTGCTGGTCGATTGTTTTTGCACCTGTGATTCGGGTTTCGGAAGAGATTGAAATTGTTCACTCTAGCGCCGTTACTGCTATGGATTGGTCCCCTTGCATTGTGGCTGATGACCCGAACAGGTCTGATGCGTTATTCTCACTTCCCTGGATTGGAAACGACATTTTGTATTCCTCCCAAATCCAACCAGAGGATGATAACGTAAACATCTTCACCACCTTAGAGCTTGAAATAACGGGCTGTAGGTGAGTAACATGACCTTAAGCATGGTGTAATGAAATACAGGGCACTGCTTACCCAGGATATGAGAAGATTCGGCACAAGTTTGCTGGAAGACTCCACTTCGGCAGCGCTGCTAATCCGAAAACCCTTCCGCAAGATCGGTGAGGCTAGCAAGGTAGCTGTTATATTTGCGACACACTGGTTTGTCTCAGTTGACCCTCATGCCTATGAAATTTTTAGCGCTTCAACCTTTGACATGCCTGTTCATTGTAGATTGAAAGGCTACACAGTTGTTTCAAGGAAGCGGAGTTTGCCCATCTTAATCGTATTGAAGAACCCTTGTGTTTACCGCTCGAACCGGAGGTCAAAGTTATTGGAATCGATGCACCCGCAACTAATTTGTTTAAGGTGGGTTTGGATCCATTCCTTTTAACAGGATATGTTCGGGTTTTATACATCTGGCTAATCTTTTTTAGCCTCTGTCTATTTGAGACTCGTTTACACGAGGTTGCAGGAACCACCTATGTTCGTTTTCGGTTCCCCCTATGGATTACCTTGTTGCGTTTCCAGCGGGTTCAGTCGACTGCTTGGATAAAACCTCGTGAAAGGACTTGTTCTAAACATCTTCGACCTTCGAATTTCGTGACGGCATTGTTACGACCCAGTTTACCTACATAACGGATGTATACTTTTCCCTCAATCGGCGCTGTCCTTCGGTAAAGTTTGTTTGAAGAGGGCTTCAGGTATTTGCAGACATTTCACCTTAAATTTATTCCCTTCTTTCTAGCCAAAGAACTGAATCATATCTGAAACAATATATTGTACTTATCGATCGCTAGCTGTCTAGTATCCTCTCAGTGGATTTATCCGAGAGGGTTCGACGCCCTTACACTTCACTACCTATACTCGATGATGATGTGCGTTAGTAACTGTACTTCCTCAATGTTGGTGAAATCAAGGTAGTTCATCCAAATGCTAAAAGCGTACAACAAATACACAGATGAGATTTGCGAGGTTCATATTGCTTTTTTTCTTCAAGATGATTTACATGTTCTGCTGACTATGAGAACGAATTTGAGGGTGCCCCATCACTCGGTACTTTTCCCTTCATCTGTGAAGCTCGCGCTTATTCCTAACAGCTCATCTAGTGCGATGCGGTGTTGTCACCAATTTTGTTGTGCTTTCCACTCTTGCGCCCTCCCTACAGAGTGCCCGTCAACCGGTCTTCATTCCCTTCCTACTCCCAAGTGGCGGACAGTACAAGGTGATATTCAAGCACGGTGATGACTTGCGACGGGATCAGCTTGTGTTGCAAATGATAGAACTGATGGATGTGGTAAGTAGCCGTTCAGTTCCCCCTTCAAGTTGATATACAAGTTTTTGTCGGTGTGCTGGTAACAAAGTTATGACTGGATTCTGTGTGAGAGGTGTGCTGCTAAACATGGCTGTCCTTATAGGAGCTTGTCATTGTTCCTGCCATAGTTTGGACTAGATATTCAGTGGCCATAGTTGTATAGGTGTATTTGATATATAAACCCACGTTTATATCTTCCAGGTAAGTTTGGTATCCTGTCGCTGTGGTTTGCGAGCCTCGGTCGGTCCCAGTAGACTTTTTACCTCTTATCTTTATGCGTACCGGGTCGCTTGTCATCCAGTACATTCGGAGGAAGTAAGACACTCAGGGTCACTAGATTCGTGTAACATAGTTTTTTCATCCTGATAAACTCCTAATCATTTCTTAAAAGTATCCACCTTATACTGCCGTTTCTATTTCTCGACTGCCTCAGATAGTGGTGTCCATCTGAGAGACTCCCGTGTGGTGTCACCTGTGAAGATAGATCATTCCCTTGCAAATGAGCCCACTTATCTTTGGTCTTCACTTAACATCGAGTTTTAACTAGCATCTTTGAACCATTCGGCATGTGCCAGGAGTCATATCCGGGTATCACGTCAACTGACAGGCTAAATCAGATTGAATCGGCTGAGGATGAGGTCCAGCGACAATTGTATGGAGCCAGACTAAATGATTTGGGTGAAGCCATGGCGGTGGATTTTTTACGGCTTTCCGTTTATCCACTGCTATCTCCCAGGTCGCATATGAATGTGCAAATTTCAAGAGGACAGTCCTGAACAAAGGCCATGTTCGGCTAGGGACGCTGTCCATAACCGAGAACTTATATTCATATTTTTCGGTATTTTTTAAGGTTTATAAACCCCCGTAACAAAGTTGTGGTCAGATCGCGAATAGCTGAGACACACCAGCGCTTTCATCATTATTGGACCCATCAGTCGGGGTTACAGAGATCGGACACGTGACCACTAATTTAGGAGCCTCAGGTTCTCTTCCTTTAGGTCACACTTCCGAAGACAACTTTGTGCGAATGCTGGATTTCAGTTAGGCTTTGAACTTGATTTGACCCACCTGATTCTCAGTGAGGATTGATGGCTATTCAGATGGAAAAAGGTTAACTATTAGTCGGGCGATTTAGTAAGTAAACAGACCGGTTTCACCCTTCTTGGGGCTCATCAGGTAGGCACAGTCCCCGGGTTTCCGTCAAACTTATGTTCTACTTGAAACCGAATTGCACGAAATTGGCGAATATACACTCATCTGCAAACTAATTTGGTTCTTTCGAGAGACTCACCTGGAACCCAGCTGATTCAGTTGCACATTCAGTTGCCTGAGAACATCATAAACGAGAGATTCAGCTGGGTTCCAGGTGAGTCTCTCGAAAGAATCAAATTAGTTTGCAGATGAGTGTATATTCGCCAATTTCGTGCAATTTGGTTTCAAGTAGAACATAAGTTTGACGGAAACCCGGGGACTGTGCCTACCTGATGAGCCCCAAGAAGGGTGAAACCGGTCGTGGGCTGTCGATGGATTTTCAGCAACCTTATGAGTAGCACATTACAAATATACAAGTAAACAGCTTCTTCGGACCAGTTTCCAAGCTTAATACATCATCTTATGTCATAAGCAAGTGCGATCAACTTTACGAGTATATGTAACCTTTTAATTGAATGTTGGTTTCCCGAAGATGAATGCGTATCTGACAAGTCCTCCAAGCATCATCTTCCCGTGGTAATCGACCACATAGCGGTTTCATGATAGTTTGCCCATTTTGTGTGGTGTTGGAGTACTTCGACAGGTCTTGAAGTCCGCGCCGAATAGCCACTGTCAATTATTTGTCTAGTTGCACGAAGCCTCTTGGGGGCTACCGATCTCCACTTGATAATCGCGACTTATTCGTCACAAAAATACTGGTCCTTACCGTGATTTGGCGGTTTGTTTGTTTCCATGGCCTGTTGGACTATAATCACAGACTCTTCTACCACGTTAGTCAACGTTAGATGCCCAATCAATATAGCCTCTTGGCCATCCATGTTGGGAGTTGGAGCGTGTGGCGACTTGCTCTTTAAAAAATGCAATGCATTGGGATTTCCCGCCGAAGGCTATGGTTGGTGACCCTAACCCCCCTTCTCTCTAGGTTTTGGCACCCTGGCCCGCGCACAATCATGATTCTTACGACTAAAAACCCCGTAATTTCACATCGGCCGTTGCGTGATTCCATCAGCTAGGTCTCCGCGCTTGCTGTATACAACAGGGCTTAATGTACGGGAGTGAAGCGTCAAGGTTGAACGCTGATGTTCAGTCGATGATAATGATGATGGTGATTAATCACGACTTCTTCCCCAGCTAGACTTTCCTTATGCGATTAACCTGTCTTTTTTCCGTCAGATCCTCAGGAAAGAAAACTTTGACCTCAAGTTAACACCTTACAAGGTTCTGGCAACGGGCTCTGGTCATGGTAAGTTGCACACTGGCTTCGTGTACCTTTATATGGAGGGTATTGAGCACAGTTCATATGTTCGTTGTCTGTCGTTGCTGTAGCTCGGTACCTGTGTTTGCTAGTCGGCAGCCAGAAGTGCTCAGCTGGGGTTTCACTTTCAGCTAGGTAGTGACAATGACCCAAATGAGTAAGTTATGAAATGTGTAGTTGAAATTTTCGCCCTGCAAGTGAAGTCAACCTATAAAATTAACTTGAGATCTATTACACACCTGCTCCATCTTTCATGGAAATCGTCGGTGGTGCGAATCACACTTATCTCTGTGGTAATTCAAGCCTTTTAGTTTGTAATCGAGCACTACTCCAATCAGTCACGTGTGACTGACCGGAACTATGACACAATCGCATCCAGAAAGGGTATAGGGCCACTCACCTTTCAGTCAAATAGTTTATGTCAAAATTCGATTATGGCTTCTGGAGCGTAAATTTCTTGAATGGGAGGCCTGTCTTTGAGGCTAGGACCAGCTAGAGCGGCTGCCCATCAATGCGCTTTTAGATGGTATCTCCTGTAGAGGAACTAAAAGCCTGTTATAAAAAATAAAACCTTTAGTGGAAATGCAACTGCACCTTGCAGACCAAATGTCTTACAGTTCGTGCTGTACTTGAGACGCAAGATCTCCTGCTCGCAGTTTGTCCATACCTTGGATGCAGATGGAATGAGTGCCACTCTAAATCAGCACGCGGTAAACCCAACTAGTCGATGCATCATTTATACTATCCATATCTACCATCTCTATTCCATCTATGCCAGACAGGGCTCACACTGTGTGCTGTGTTGTGTGGGAGTTCCCTAATGCCTCTGGATTTAAGTGAAGGGACTTACAGGGGATTCTACCGGCTTCAACACAACGAGGTCAATGAATGTGTGGTGACTGAAGGGTGGAGGTGAAACAAGGGACAGCGTACCCATTAGCATATTCTATTTCAAAGAATCATGTGAGCGCATGGGTGTTGTAAAGTCCCAGTCGGACTGGGGGTGAGAACCACAAGATAGCGAACGAGATCGGAGGGAACCAGGGTACGGGGTGTAGCAAACTACTTGGTATTTTGATGTTATCCTCACGCCTCATACTGTGTACATACGGGCGACTTCTTTTCTTCAGGAAAATTGTGTCTGATTGCACTACAGACATTTGAGTCCCCTGTCTCGTTACAGTCGTAGAATTTAACGCTAGGGGTGAAATGGCTCAAGTGGTTAGAGCGCGAATTTACTGACCGGAATGTCCGTGGTTCAAACCCGACCTCTGCCTCTCGACTTCCCCTGACTAGGCTTGGGCAACCTGGCAGTATCCCAGCCCTCGTGCAACCTTCGGGTGGCATGGCAGTTAGGCGCCGAGAAGGTGCTACAGCTGAACGTTTTATTATTATTCATAAGACCACCTAAAGAAGTAGATTTTGTCTCGTGAGGAGGATTTCTTCATGGGGAATGGTATCTTCCTTAATATTCTGAACGTAACGCAGAATGTACGACACTCTGGCACACATGGATCAACCTTCCAGTCGTAAGTGAAACACCGGAAATAGTGATGTTTTTCTTTCCCTCTTTCAATCACTTTCTGATCTGTGTTACAGTTTTCGATTGGCTTTCTCAGTTCATAAGCTCCCAGATTTTGTTTCCATTGCAATTAATTCTGAAAGTTTGTACTTATTTTCTTATACACCCTGTAGGTTTTGTTCAATTTATTGAGTCGCAATCAGTGTTTGACATACTTCAGAAGGGCACGATCCTCGGATTCCTTCAACAAAATGCCCGAAGCTCAACTGACCCGTTGGGTGTCCAAAAAGAGGTGCTTGAAACATATATTCGTTCTTGTGGTGAGTATTCTTAGTCGTATGTTATCGTTAAGGAATAATCTTTTCTAGTACCACAAATGCATTATCGGGTAGAGTGGCCCAACAACTGAGAGTGAAACACTAGTCATCGTTTATACGTGGAAACCTAACAAACTCCTCGATAGAATCTATCCATTTTATACTGCTTTCTTATAAGATATGTTGATAATCCATCACTAGAGTCCGCCTACGAGGCCTGAACGACTATCATTCCGTGATATTACCTCGAAGCTTGTTCGAACCCCACTCTTCTTTGTGCAGAAGATAGTTAAAGGCTGTCTTTGCATGAGTCGATGGTGGAAGTTTCTCTGAGGAATGAAATCTAAGTAGAGCTCCTTACCAGGGATGCTTCTAGGTGTTAATTACGTCTGGGTGAATCTGGTTCGGTTGGAGACTGTTGTACGTTAGTCTCCTCAATCCCCTCCGGGAGCACGTGTTTCACTGCTTGCTTGGGGTACTTCACAAGGTCTCACTCAAACTTCCGTTGTTTAGTGATTCCCTATTATTACCAAAGTGTTACATGTAAACTTGAACAACTTATGATAACTAATCATTGACTGACTTCCCAGTCGATCCTTAACATCGAGTCCTTAACATCAGCTAACATCTTCGTTATCTACCGTTGTTCACATGGATGTCGTAAATATCAGTCCAATCGAAGTCTTGGTCGGCATTTGTACTGTGCGCTTACTTATAGGATATTGACGGAGAATCAATTCGAAGCTCGTTTCTAACCAATCGCGTGACTTACTGAACCTCAGTGACCTGATTAACTTGCAAGCATCCCACGGAAACAGGGCAGGAACTGCGCTTTCTATCACACTAACGCCTCATACAACTCAGATGGTGCTTTTGTCATTAGCATCGTTGACAACAATAGCGAACTGAGAGGGCTGATGCTTGACTGGAACGCGCGTGTTACAACCCCCTGAGCAGGGAATGTAATTTCCAGCCAACTGAGAGCATCAGCAGTCTATACGCACGTTCGAACAACCACTGTAATGAAACTCAAGCAAGCTCCCCTGTAGTTTTTGCTCGTCAATCGCCCAACCTGAACTGCAAAACCCTAAGTAATTAGTTCCAATTCTCAGATAAGTACGCTTCGCTCTGCTGATTGAGCATTGATTGTTTGAGCATACGGTAACGTCACAGTGGAATGTGATCCGAGACTATTTTGGACAATAGTCAACAAACTTTTCATATTGTCGAGTACGTGGCCCTTATAAGGCGCTTCTGGTTCTGTTCTGGTAGGCTTTTGCTTATTGGTGTCTGTCTTGTAGTAGAAGCTCTTCGGTCCACCAGAATCCTCTCTCAAAGAACGGTGCATGTCGGAGTTTGTCTACAAGCCATTGTCGACGACATCCCTTAAAATGGGTCTTTGATTAATTGGATACGTATTCGAGCTCTGGTGGAAATATGCCACACCATGTACTATACTTATATGGAATTACAAAGGCTCGGGTATACGAACGTGACAACTGATTTGATTAAACTGCATGGATAGTATGTCAGACTTCATCCTTGTTTGACTAGTGTCTTCACAGCTTTGAACACTCACATATTACTTAAGGCTGAACCACACATTTCTAAGGGAAGCTTGTTTTCTGAGAGAAATTCAGATCCTTCTAGTCCGTTGGAATGCTTCACACGTGACAAGCTTAGGTGCAGAATGCATTGTTATTTTCATTTTCCATTTTGTCTAGCTGGCTATTGCGTCATTACCTATCTGCTGGGAGTCGGTGACCGACACATGGAGAATCTTTTGTTGACCAACGATGGACGTCTTTTTCACATCGACTTTAGTTTCTTGTTTGGGAATGATCCGAAACCCATGGCTACGGAAGTTCGCCTGACCCGAAGTATGATCGAAGCTATGGGTGGTGCAAATACCAGTCAGTTTGGAGAATTTTGGAAAATAACGTTTACGGCTTTTCTGGTCCTTCGAAGGTAAGCAAATAGGTTGATGAAATGGAGGGGCGTTGTTGTTCTGAGTGAGTCGCCAGTCCAAGTTTTTCGGATTTTCGAACCATTACCTACGAGGTTACCACGGTGATTGGTATATTTTGTTGAAGTGTTGATCGGTCTATGCAATCTTGGTTGATTCCATGGTATTCATAATCCGACCAACTGAAACTTTGCCTTTCCTTTGACCGACGTTCTATCCAAATGAGCGATAAAGTGGCCATCCGTCTGGAAAGGTGTAAACATCGAAATCTGACTTCTATCCGTACTCCTCATCTGGGATGGTTTATTCTTCCTGGATGTTCGCGTTTCCTGTCGACCGACAACTACCGTTTTATGTTAACATCATCAGTGGTTTCTGGAACACCTGAGTTTGTGTACTTTTCCCATGAAGCGATTGTTTTTCGGCTTTGGTGTTCGGGGTGGCTCAGGATTTGAGCGAAAGTTCTACTCGGACAGAACCCTTGAATTTGGCTGTGATTTTAACGTGGAATATAATTCAACGCAATTATTGTAGATGATGTATGTCGTTCGCTTGAATCTGTACAGTGTGTTTTATTGCTCTGTCCGCAGGATCTTGCTACAGACCCAGAGTAGCGACTGTATGAATTCCTCTTTATTCCACTGGATATGTGTTTTGCAACAGACCAGTTTTGACTTATTTTGAATCTGTGAAAGTGCATCGTGCCTGTTGGGTAATGTTAGTACGGCAGAGAGACTTTTACAGTCCCGTAAGTGGTTCCCAGTAGCCTCGAACGATTTGACCGAATCGTTTTATGTTGGGTGATATCGACGCACTGACGTTAAACTGTTGCATGAAAGCTGGCTGTATGCTGGTATCGACGGTGGAGTTATCCAGGTTGGTGACTACAATATGTTTTGGGCGGATCATCCCAAAATCGTTATCCCTTAGTGATGTGCTCTTCCGCATGCTCCGTATAACTTTCTTAAAAAACAGCAATTTCCCCATTTTGGACTCTGAGCACTAATCAGCCCCTTTTTGCCACAAACCTATACATTTTCTCAATATTATTCCTCATTAATTGTTGCGTGCTAATTCTTTGACTACTCTAATACCTGATTTGCAACGATATCTTTGTATCCTTGCCTATGATCTTGATGGATTCAGTTGTGCCCTTCTCACATCTATCGGAGCCGTCAATATCGTGTACATTTCAAAAAGACTTGATGCTCAACTTGACGGTTTGTATGATGTGGTGCGAGACGGCTCAGTGGTTAGAGCGCGAATTACTGACCGGATGGTCCGTGGTTCGAACCCGACTTCTGCTTCTCAAATTCCTCTGTCTGGGCTTGGCCAACCTTGCAGTATCCCAGCCCTCGTGCTTCCTTCTGGTGACATGGCTGTCAAGCTACGAAAGGGTGCTACAGCTGAACGGTGCAGAAATTTATGTCATCATACACTGGCGTGCTCATCCAGTTACTTGATTTTGTCTGTCTCTCTCCAGTGATATGATCAAAGTTGAACCACGGCTGGTTTATGCCTCGTGTTCCAACGCTGTTTGACCAAAATTTTACAACCAGACGTGGAATACCTCGAAGTAGCTACGTGGGAGCCGTCCTAAATTCTTTTTTTGCTTGACAGTGACCTGTTGACTCTACCATGGATCCATTGACATGACCAATCGGTCCACTGTCTTTGCTTCAAAAAAAATCTGGAAACACTTCGAATATGTCCGTGTAAGCAGCAGTTTTGAACCCAATGCTGGAAAGCAAATGACTCTGATCTCTTGCCACTCATGTTGTACAAAGTTGGCGGTGACTTCTTCACCGAATCCGTGACCACTCTGATGAACCTCGCTGCTGGAAAATGTCGAGTATTAGGTTCGTATCTAGAACAGTTTTTTTGAAGCATGAATCCAGTGCTTGCCCCTCCTCTTTTGCAAGTGTTTGCTTCAGTGCTCTCAAGTGGAAAGTTGACCACTGTGTTGCCTGAAGACTTCTATAAGTTTGTCTTTCGAAGATTGTGTTCGACTTTGGATGGAATCTTTCGTTCAGTGCACCCGATGACTTCTTTATTTAATCAAAATAGCAAGACGGTTTTGTTGCTTGTGGTGGACTCTGTTGATGCACTGGACAGCTGGATGGTCTTCCGAAGCTTTTGGTGCAGCTTATCGTCAAAAGTGTTTTGAAGGCAGTTTTCGCCAACCTATAAACCTGGATAGTTAAAACTACACCACTCCGGATACATGGAGGTTTTCTCCAGTGGCGCCTACTTTTTCCCGTCTCTTTGTACGTTATTAGCCTGCTCATCCCTGATTTCCTTACCCAACTCAAATCACCTAATAATGTAGTGCTCGAGTGTACAAGCGACACGCTGAAAGCGTGTGTGAAATTGCCGTTCTGACTCAATTTACTCGCGGATTAATCCCTGGGACGTTCAGTATTACTGTTATCCTTGAGCTCCTTTCTCTCGATCAAACCCTCCCCTTGCTTGAACCCGCTGTTTTCTGCTTCTGCCTGATGCATTCGATATTCACCCAGAATTCCTCATGAGCTTTTGACTCCTGACATGCTGAGCCAATCTTGACGAACTTTTCCCATACGCATTTTGGCCACTTACGTCTGTGCGCTCACGTTTGTCGTTAACTCAGATCGGTTCGCCGTTCCTTTCGAGTTTCTTTCAATTCACGCAAAAACTGAACGGAAATCCCTAAAATTTGATGAATGTATCCCCTTCATATACGTACTTCGTACTTGTAGTACCGCATTTTATTGATAAATCTCAAGACTTCGCGATACTTAACTTGTGATCTCGCGCGCCACTCAATCGGGCTACCCCGAATACGTCAAGTATTCTACAATAGGATCCTTTATTATTCCATGAAACCTATAAAAGGACTTGCTCAGTAAACTCTCTTTCCTCACTGCCACTGAGCTTCGTATTCCAAGATCCTTTAGCACAAGTAACCTCAAGTGGTTCACTCCTACCAAGATCCAAAGTTTACCATTTCACACTCTCAAACTTAGTGCTAGAAATACCCCTCACAACCTCTTCGTGCGATCTGCTATTGCACCCTGAATTTCTTTAGTGGTCGACAGACTGCTGCTTGCAGTTCCTGAAGTTTATTTCCAGATTCAGTGGAATATAGAGAGTTATACCTGTCAACTTCGTGTTCGACCAGCAGAGTGGCGCTTGTTAAAACTTTGCCGTGAGGATCCTATTGGGTGCCCTGCACCCTCTTCAACCTTTTCTCTTAAGGGAGTTTCAAGTTCCAACACGTTCGAAATTCAGACTCACCTTTGTTCCGTAGTGGAATCTTGACTATCTCGGTCCTGCTATGCATGGGCTCATACCTGGTTACGATTTTTTATGCACAGTTTGAAACCACGTCACCCAACCGGATAAACCCTAGATAACCATGGGTTTGTGCTCGTTCCTTCCTTTTTGCCAGTTTCCATGTTGTTTTCATTTTACTGTTCATTTTACTCCATCAGCTCCTCTTGACCGAACTGGGTCGCTTCTGTCTGGGCTTTGGACTTCTTCCACTATCTTATTTCTGGCATTCTTTTCCGGCCGCAAGGCAGCTGTCAACCAGTATGATGTCACAGTTGATTCTCATGGCATTCGTACCACATTTATCGAAACAGCCAGCTTCTTGTCTGATAAAAATCACTGTCGAGTCGCTTGACTCTTGAGTGCCGTTTAGAGGAACACTGCGTGTATTTGATGAGTACCGTCGCCTTGTTTGTGTGTGATAGAACACCAGCGGTTGTCGTCAACTTTTCGACGAAGCCGAAGCCTCTAAAAAACGAATTATTTCTATGAACCATTTGGGGATTATCAATGTTGGACAAGCCCTTTTCAAGATTCGAAAGAACTTCCGTCACTCCTTTCTTATGGCACAATACAGGCACTTTCTTGCTCCAGCTTATGTTATTTACTATCAACGTCGGACGCGGTTTTGAAAAGTAAGTAATGCCTACGGTAGTACCTTTAAGCAACCTGAATTATTTGATCGCATAGGCTAAGTCAACAATTCACTTCAACCTAATCTCTCATCGAGTTTTTTTCCTTTCCCGCTGCAGGCATGCGAACCTTTTTCTCTCATTGTTCTCCCTCATCCAAAACGTCAGTGTCCTTCCCACACCGCGTGACTATACCAATGCCTGTGAATTTTTGAAGGAGCGCTTCTGTATCAATCAAACCGAAGAACGCGCGGTACACCGTCTTGCCAGTCGCATGACCGAGGCCATAAAGTCTGTTGTTCCGGATATCATGGAACGTATTCGTGCATTTGCGCAGGTAGGTGTAGCGTGCGCATGACCTGTAAGCCAGGGCAGTGAAACAGATAATACCGCTACTTGATATATAAACCACAAACGATTCCATCTTTCGACTAGAATGGTATGTTTACACCTTAGCATGGGGAGGTTTAACTTAAAAAACTTGCACTCTTGCTCAGTAGGTATCAACCCAGGCAAAAGGAGGTACCACCCTTAAGATGTTCATATATTACGATGTACTTAATAGCTGTTTCCATCGATGCAAAGGGTTGGTCCCCAACCGAGCTGACAGACGATTGGTTGTTCGTACAGCTTCTAGATCTAGACCGCATACGAATCACGCACGAAGTACTTGTTGCCCTAGTATCCTACGATGACCGCAGGATCTAAGGTCCGAAAGCGGCTGTTTCGGCTTCAGTGGTAAGCCTGCAAATGATAGATATTCTATACTTCCATGCTGTATGGCTTTCTTAGAAAACCATATGATTTGGACGGAAACTGGCAGCTTCTCAGCACAGGTCCAGAACTGTCAGCTTCAACAGAGGTGCAGCACATTTAGTGATGTTACTCGTTCTGCGTTCCTGCGTAACCTCACGAAAACGATTGATTTCCACACGAACGAAGCTTGATGACTCTTTCAGAGCAGTTCGTCACAGATGAGCTCTACTATTATGTGGTACTTCAAATTCGGTAGATCATGAGCGCATGTCTCTCATTCTTGTCTCAGAAATGTCATGCCATTGTTCCACTTCGTTCCTCACTGAGTTTTTTGTTCACCGGCTATCATTCGTTATCAGATGACTCAAATGGTGACCCTTTCCGTTCAATTGAAGCGGATAGCTACGTCCTAAAGACGACAATCAGTGTCATTCAAGTATTATTGAAGTTCGATGTGTACCGGTTTGGTACCGATTTGATTTTGACGGAATACTCAGCTGGAATCCAGCTAAATACCTCTTTTATGGTGCTCTTAAACGGCTGAATGTACTGTAGGGCGAGTTTCCAGCAACCTTATGAATAAGGTATTACGTTCATATTATTAAAGTTGTTACCCGCCTGTTCGTAGGAGAATAAGAGTTGGTAGCTACGTAGTAGGGGCATCAAATGCTGTTTGGCTTATAACTATGGCTTCCGGTGCCTCGGTCCAAGCACAGTATCCATCGACATAGGTCACTGAAAGAAGAGCGTTGGTCTTTCTGAGGGAAGGATCACATACATCCTGGTTCCTCAATAATTGGCTCAATAGAAATATTGCTACAAGTCGAAAAGGCTTCGCTGACAAGGAACAGTTTTTTGGTTTCCAAGGGAGTATGGCCCGTTTCGAGAAGAGTATTGACGAAGGGAACTAAGGTCATCATTCAGTTCAGGACTTGGTTATTTCTTAGCATCTCGGCCAAAATGTTGATGAATTTATTGTCATCGTTACTGGTAGGCGTAATCTTGTACCAAGACAACTTCACCACTCGCAATTAGGCACTGCTACTACAAAGAAGCATGATCCGCACGTGTTTCAGTATTCACTGAATACCGGTTGCCGATGGCACGTCCATAAGATGTGCAACTTTTCAGAATGGTGTCGCTGCATATACTTAGATACGACGCGCCGTGGTTGGGTTTGTCGCGTTCAACGCACCCTTGGTTGTTCTTTTGATGAAGATGCTAGCTTGGAAGGGTCGAATCGAAAAATTAGCTAAAGCATTACCGTTAACCCAATAAATTGTCCAAAATCCGTTAATCTGTTTGCACATTAATGTGCCATGATTTACGCTCTTATATCTCTTTACTCATATCCACGTAGTCTTATTGAACACTTTCTTTCTGTTCTACTTTTCAGTTCATGCGACCGTGAATACTTACTTCGTGCTAAACCTCCATGTCTTTCACGTATAAGTGTTTTGGAAACGTCATTTTCTACAGCTGTGCTTCCATTCGAACGGCTTCCTTCGACTGTGAACACAATCTGCTCTTATATCTTCAATTATTTCCGTGTTATATTGTAACAAATATATAAGCAAAATTGCAGCAAAGTGGGCGTCATTCTTCACTCGCAGCCAATGGGTTCGGATACTGGTCTAAATCAACAGGCGGCCTCTTCGAACTGCCGGGAGTGTCGTGCTTGGTGTTCGCTTCTTCTTCACCGAGCGTCTGTACCTAAGGGGGAATTTAAAAAAATGGTGCTTTATAATGGTTCGTTAGAAGTACACATCAAATTTTCGTAACCATTTTGTATACCATGAAGTTTTTTACTGCTTAAAGGAGGTCTATAGGGTTTAGGTTGTTTTGGTAGCGTTCATCCGAACAGCTTTCTCTCTCTTCCGGTAAATCACTGAGCAACAATTGTTCATTGATGTGGGTTTTGCTCCTAATTCGTATGGTTATTGTTTAATTTCGTTCCCTACGTATCTGTAATGCCGTTCAAAAATTTAAATAGGTATGATGGAAGAGGTTTCTGTGTTCGTTTTTCAAAGTTATCCGTTATGGGGTTAGCAGTGAGTCCTTTTTGATTCTGCGCGTTGTAAACCGGCAAATTTCGCGTTTTTAGCGCCCAAACTGGATGAAGCGTGGTGACCTGTTGCTTTAGGCCTGGTAGTCTATAATTTTTAGCAATTTCTTGGATGTAGATCGGTGGTGGTAAGAGATACAAGTCCCTTGAACGATTGCTTAGTCTCAAACTATGAAAATTCCTCGAGGCCGGTATGGTGCTCGCCCGCTATGAGGCCGCCAAAAGAACGAGCTAATTCTCTTTTAATATGGAATGGCCTACGTATTGCCTGGTTGGAGCATGTTCGTATGGTTGCGTTAGAGAGAGAAGGTAACTGTAGGGGACTGGAGTGCTTCAAAAGTCATTTTCGACGTGCACAAAGTGAACCAGGACCCAATTCACGAACAACACATCAAGTAGCAAAATGACCAACTATTATAGGAAGCCGCACGTTTTCATCCGTAAATTCTGTCGTTCAACAACTCTATATTTCACACAGTTTAAACCACATTTGTTTGACACTATCGTGTCAAACAACTGAGTATCAGACTGCTTTTATATTTATGTATTATCTGGTATGACTGCAAACAAGCATGTTTGGCAGCCATCGTCCAGTCAGACAGCGGCACTTTGCATATCCGACAGATTGCGAGCATATGTATCTTTGTGCACACAGGTCATATTCTAGGCTCATAACTTGATTGTGGACACTGTCAACAGTTCCCAACGGCTCAATAAAGGGAGTCAGATGGTGTGTCCCTAAATGGCAGGTTAGAAAATTAAATCGGTGTGTTTGCCTCCCTTAGACAGAAATCTGATTTATCTACCTTCATTCGACTGAAGAATGTCATCCAGAAAAAAAATTGCTGTAGGACAAGACACGCTTTTTGTTTTTTCCACAATATTCGACGTTTATTGCGGTCCTAATCTCCCGATGGTGTATCATGTGGCAACTGTAACGCACTTACGGTTGTCGTTTTGATCACTTCTGTAAGCCCTCCGTTCAGCGCTCGTTTGGTTTGCCGGTTTGAATCTGTCGTTCGGGGAGTTTCTTGCATACCAGTTCGAACCAACAAGTCTTCCACATCTGTGAAAGCAAGTGCATATAATTCTGACACACACAAACAGTCGTGGATAGCTGTCGAAACGGTTGTGAATTGTTGAATCTCTCTTTCTTCATCGGACCTCCCATGTATTTATTATTGATTCAGACGGTTGTAAGACGTGCTATGAGGGACTAGGAAAAGAATTTTTCTGTATATGGAAGTAGTTATTCCTATCTAACCACCATATATGACTCCTCAAACCACTTTTAAGAGTGCGGTATTCTACAAGGCCGTGTCCTCTAGAATGACTGAATTTTGATGGATTTTGTCATCCCTTACTATTTGCTTCGGTCGCAGTGCGCATCTACTCAACTAGAGTCAACAGCACGAACACTTGAGGGGTGCCCACGGTACCCACATAAACTGTTTCCTCCTAGCACTGGGCATCAATAAAATATTGAACTAAGCTAAATTTGTCATCCCACTTTCATCCATCTCGTCAGAGCAATCTGAGGATGCGCTTTAGAGGGGCTTTACCCTACATCTTTCATCTAGCGTGGTCTCGCTCTTCGAACTTCAGTAGTTAGGAACAAAAAGCACAAGGCATACTGAAAATACGGGGAGGTTTGAAGACCTTAGTAGGAACTTCATTCTGTAAGCTTAGTAAATCTCTGATGAGTAGCTGACAAGCGCTGTACGGTTGTTTCATTCTTGTTAAGAATCATCAGCAGTACAAATCGCAGAACCCTTTGGGCGATTCCAGCCCGCAACCTTCATATTAGTAGTTGTACACTAGCCATTCGGCCACGATTAATCAGCGGTACTGTTATGTCGTACAGTGTGAGTTGTCGCGCGTCCAGCCGACACCTTTTTGAATCAGTGCCAGAAATATTGAAAATCACTCTATTAAGAGTACATTTTGACTGTTAAGTGTGACAACATTCGAGGAGAAAACGGATGGTCCATTGATCCATGGTTGATTATCTACAGACAGAGGAAGCTACTGGTGATACTACCCTCCAGTCTGTTTCCGGTGGAATCAAGGGGCGCAACAGTGCGCGCCAAATTAGGTGGGAACTAATAATAGTCTTTCGGGGAGAAATCATACAAAGGGAGTGTTATTTGAGGCCTCTGAATTAGACATTGAGTATCCACTAGATAGATAGTTTGACACAAAAGGACATAGTATCAAACATCCAAGTTCCAGGTGCACTTATTGTATGTCCGTTTCCAAACCCGAAATTCCCAAACATGAACGTCGTTCGAGTAGGCCCTTGTTTAATTAACCAAAACTGGAAACTACGGTAAGCTTCACTCACTATCCTGCATCCAACCCGTTTTCATAGTTTTGCTTCAAACCAATCCCGGCAAGCGAATTGCACTCAGAACTGAGCTGATCCGTTACTAACACCCTGTGTTCCATCGGATAGAGCTTAGCTATACACCACCGTCTTAGGGTGAACAGTGATTTCACGTCACTCATGTCATTCGCAAGTGACATTTGGGTTGGTTTTGTTTGCCCAACACCCGTACACTGACGACAACGACAATGGCATCTAACATGCGGTAACAATGAGGATATAAATAACCGAGTGACAGTACCATAATGTTTGAAGAAACCGGTGGTGAATCTGCTGCGAGTCAATGTAGAGTGGACTGACCGTACCAAAGTTACAGCACTGTGAAGATGATCTGTGCCACTTAGCATTCGTGTATGCTCACATCTCATTTATCTGTTTGAATAAGGTCAGAGTTGAGGTAATTTGGAGAATTCCGGAAAACGAAGCCGAGCATTTAGTGTACGTTTGTGGCAAAAAAAGCAGTGGGAGTGTTCATGGTCGTGAAAAACGGATTCCATTTAGAATGGCGTCATTCTCGAACGTTAGGACATTTTTGTTTGGAGCTATTTAAGAGTTGCAGTTATTTTTATTCATTTTTCGCTATAATTACTCAGTCGTGCGAACTAATTATATCATTTATATCTCCTGGGGTGTTTGCTAAACTGACTGATTAGGCAAGGGCTGAAATAATCAACGAAGTTTCCAATAAAGAAAAGAGTGAACAATAGAATTACTTCACAATCACTCACTGTACTGGGAGCATATCTCCGTAACACGTATCCAACATGCCAGTTCTTCCCAACCTTCATTGATCAAGTCCATGTCAACAGTAAACGCTGGTTTGTTTGTAGGTTCTTCCTGATTATTAAGGCGTCTCCATTTATGCAGAAGTTTTTCGAACCGTATGTCGGTTGGTGCTTTAAACTCGAAAGGCTGAGGGACAGTTGGAGTGACACTTTGGTTATGACTAGTAGTGATCACTTCCCGTGCCGCACTCGACGAGAGCAATGGGTTACTCGCTTTTTTAGTACACTCCAGGTTCTCTCGCGGAGTCATGCTAAAACGTGGACGGTTTTCTCCATTCCTATTGAATTCGGGGAATGAAATTGGTGTATGGATACGTTTTACAGTCGCCGACCCATCACCCATTATGTACTGCCCTTGAAAACTCATGGATTCCGGAAGTCGTTCCACCAGTGGCACAGTTGGGATTGCTGTCGATTCCGTCGCTCCGGCATGTTCGATGGTCTGCGTCTCCTTAGCCAGTATGACCTCACAGGATTGATTAGGAATCATCAAACAGTCATTGTCCGACAGCGACTGTTTGGGTGACAACGCTAACTCCACTGGAGACTGGTATAGGTTTTCAAAACTGCTTTCTTTCAGTTGGTTATACCCGTCTTCCACTGCCATTTCTATTATGCTGATCGGGCTCCAACTCAGTCTATCAGTATCTAGGTCACTAACTGATAGACCACAGTCTTCGCATTCTTTTGTGAGATACTCTGTGAATGTATCTTGATTGATATATCTCGTGCCTTCCGTCACGCATTTGGGATTGTGAGGAGTCTCCTGCAATGCAGTAGTTTCGAAATTTTCTGCTATTAGGTTACTTACTTGAGGCAACTTCAGCTGGTTGGGTACTGTGATTACGTCCTGTTGGTCGAAGGTCTCTCCCTTTATCCGACCACTGTTCTGGTGTTGATTGATGTCGTTGAGTGGACTCCAACGGAACTTTCTGTAAACCGGATCACTTCTGTTCACTGTTGTTATGGACTTTGGAACTGCTGCCGTAGGTGTGTTAATCAAGGGAGATCGCGGACGAATCATTTCGGACAGTGGCTTTGTGATAACCTACAACACAGAGCAAATGCGGTACGAAAGATTTTGGAAACTTCTCAACACGACGGTTTTTTCACCCGCAGTGATTTAAATTCACCTATGGTGCCTTCAGTGGTGAGTGCCCATGCTCCTCACCTAAGCCATTTTTGTAGCCAAAATAAACCAAGCGTCAAGAGACAGTATATTCGCCTGTTTCCGATTTCTCCTTTAGTGTGAGCTGGCCTTAGCAAGTTGTAGGATTATCATTCCATTATACGAATTGCGACATACCTGTGGTCTCGATGGGTTTGATGATTTTGTATGCATTTTCTGCCCGAAATTCCGACATTTATCGGCAGTGTCCGTACTGTGATAACTCAGGCTCCTCCCACTAGCCCCTAAAGGAGCCTTCTTTGTCATCAAGAAAGAGTAATTCTTTTGAAACATGAAGAGGATGAAAAATGCTTCCAGTCTGCCACAAGACAGTGATATTCGTCGTTGTCTCCATTCTACGGTTCATCTTCGTTATAAGACAATTACCGGTTTCATTATTTTGGACTGCTTACAAGCCGCTTTTTCAACAACCATTATCACCTTCCTGCGTCAAACAAACTTAGCATGTTTCAAGTTTGACTGCTCACTTCCGAACCTGCTTTACAGTTCGAACTGAACAAGGAACCCCTAGTTCATATCAGACATCCTACAACTCCTAAATTCGGACGCAACAGATGCAAACTACGCCAAGGCATGCCGGGGTAGTATCCATACAATTATTACGGAAAATTTTATTCCATTTTGATCAATTTGAGCTATTGGAAGATTTTCCCAAATTCGTCTATTGTTGCACTTAGTTATTTGGAAAGCTCTCATAAGGGAGCGAAAGCGAAATTTAAACCTCGACAACTGCCGAAATGGGTAATACACTGATGAAAACACACAGTAGGTGGTGTTGATTTCCTGTGCATACTTGTCTCTTTGGGCTGTGGAAGTGGCAACACCGGCGTTCTCATTATTTATCGGTGCTTCCTTACAGCACTAAGTGATTAAAATTATCAGTTTTGTTGGCTGAAAATAGAACAGAAAGAATGTAAACCTATCTTTGCTAATACCAGGGGAATCGCGATTATACTTGTGTAGTATCTTCTCAACACCATATTTTTAAAGCCATCAGGGAATACCGAAGGTACTCCCTGCAGAATGTGGATCGGGATTTGTTAAGAGCGCACAGTCATGATGATGAGGGAAATACAGGTAGCTACAAACTATGGGAAAGTCTCACCAGTTTGACTGCATACAGCTAAATGTAAGCTCAAATGCCTCGCTAAGATACCATTGTTCTAGCCCTAACCAACAGCTGTTCACTTCGGTGGGACAGTGCTCACAGGCATGTCTAGAAAACCGGGCGGCTAATCCACTCAACCGTACTTGACTCCTAATTTGCTTGAGAAAGGCGACAACGCCATTTACAGACATTTTAATGTGTTTGTACGCCATTCTCTATAAAAGGCGCGCTGACCGCGATAATGCTGATTTGCGAACAGTACAGGTCACATGTTCGAACTTGCTGCTTGGTCTGCACAAGGAAAGCTTCCCCTAACATTGTAACCATCAATTCACATTCCAAAACTGCCACGCTTAGGACATACTAAAGTGACTGTACAATATTCCTCAAGTGAGTGTTCGAACCAGGGTCACTATGCCCTTGAAACATCTGTTACCAGACGCACGTCTTTGTTGGGGCTGAGTTCACGGGGTGATAGGCTGAACGTTTGCTCTGGAACGTTACGTAGCTTTATCCACCGGCGAGAAGAGTTGATCGGCCATCCTAGGTCGCGGGTAATTCGGCAAAGTCAAGAAACGTCAAGTGTCCCTTCGAAAGACTGTATGATGGCAATTTTTGTCCGCCAAAAGCGATCCTCTCACTCAGTCCCACTGTGAAGCCAACTTCAAACTGGTTAGTGCAGCTCGATGGAAACGGAAAGCCGACAGCGTAATCCGGGTTGAAGTAGTCTGTTAAACCATAAAAAGGTCAGCTTGATGTGCCTAAATGACCAGAAATTTGACGGACATATCTGGTCCCATTCAGTGAAGAAACTCTGTATTCTATGTGACCAGACATCGTCTAAAATCAGCGGATGAACTTGCTACCGATTTACCTGTCACACCTACCAGTCACCTATGTGCACTTGTGACAAATGCTGTATAAATAGAGAACCTTCATCATACAGGTTTGACCTGTGAAACAAGCTTCAGACTGTTTTGGAGGAAACAAACGAGGAAAGTGGTGGGAATTAATGCTGTTCATGTTTACGTAACTTGTGTTTGAAGGAGTGTATGCCGTTTTCATTGCGAAAAGTGGACATTGATTTACCACCGACAGTTTCAGGTGTGGAAAACAGCAGAAGATACATCTGGCTACAAATACATGTTGACTTTCGTGACGGCTGCTACCGAGGTAAGTTAGGTAGAAAGCGATTCTATACACCGGTTTTAATTTTGTGCAGAACTTCCGCTCTTGGCAGCCACCATAACGGGCACCCAACTTGTATGGCGGGTGATTATCACGTGAAGCTACATGGATATGAACTGAAAGTAAACCGAGTCCGGTATGATTCAACAAAACGGTTTAACAAACATACTTTGCTCTGTCCTCGGTGTGATCTCATGTAATCTAGCATCGAGGTCTGTATCAGCGGAATCTTTGGAGTAGAGTGCGGTGTTGCGGGGGTCCAGGTGAAAGTGGATTTCAGTTTGGATGTTTTTGTTCCGTTTCGTTGTTTTATTGTTTGTTTCCCCGTTTCAGGCGCACCCGCTTGCTGAGTTGATTTGTGAAACCGAGTAGACGACACTCGTTCAACGCCACTGATTGGTGACTGAGGGAAACCGACCCGAAACAATTGTGAATTGGACGGACCATGCGGGGCCTGCGTGCTTGTAGCCTCTGGCCACTGTATACTAGCCTTTTCTTCGGCGTCACATATATCTCGCTGACAAGCGCAGAATTCAGTATCTTCCACGTAACCAACGGATATGTCATGAAAAGCTTCAGGTGCACAGGTTTTGCTCTGAGTTTGGCAGCTCGGAAATCTGGATTTCAGATTTGGTATCGTAGATGTTGGAGTGAAACTTGTATGGAGGTCAATTCCGGCTATAAAGAATAACAATAGTACTACGGTGATCACGGTGTGAATACCAGTAGACTTGCGTAACCATACAAAGGCGCAAATACGAAATATTCTTGACGTTGTCAGCCCGAATTCAGCCCATCCAACTGTTTATTCAAGAATTTTAGGTCTCAGAAGGCGCGTGTGGTCATTCTGGTATTGGATTTGCAAACATAAATCTGACGCAGATATTCATTAGTCGTTACTTCGGAGCACCTGGTAACAAGTCAGCGCACAATCTACGGCCTTACACTAAACATATGTTGAATGATGCAGCGCCTGGTTGGCAACTAATCTGGTTATTCAGATCAATGAGTATGCCTAAGTTTCGGGCTAGGAGACGATGTGTCCGATCGTGTACGACATTCACTTGTCGTTTCTATCATGCTTGTCCGAGGATATCCCGCAGCATACTAAAGCTCACACAATTTAAAGCTCAAGTTTTCCGGAGCAAGATATTGGCGTCTTCCCCTAGAGCTGTAACTATAGAGCACGGAGAGATTGAAACAACCGTGTAACCCTAGGTAGTTCTGAGGGGAGTGGCCCCTCAGGGTCTCCTAAGCTCATCGTAATCTCTAATGCGGTTTGGTAAAAGGCTTTCGACTATAGAATCTGTGTCTGCGCATGTGCCCTGTAGTGTCGCTTCCATGGACTGGATAATTTAATGACGTCTTTTTCTCACCAGTCTCCAAAAGCATTTCACTGGCATTCAAACCAAGGGCTTTTTGGGTATATACCTGTCTTCATTCCGATTTAGGCTATCATCCGTAGTTTTGACAATAGTGTGGTATACCCACAAAAGGTAATTTCAGACGGGCTGCTCTCTTCCAGGGAGCATTTATCGAGAGACTCTAGCTTTCCACTTTAATGCATGTAAATCTAATGCCAGTCTCACCTCGAAGATACTCAGTCCGTGAGCCTCACTGTAGTGGATAAGGCACTCAGTGTCACAATCTGTGTTAGTGGCACGTTGCTTACCTGTGGAGTCCCATTACTAGTCAGCACTCGTCGCAGAGACTACTCCTGCGCCAACAAGCAGTTCCCTTCGGAAATACATGTTTGTATGCTTCCCGGGAGGCCATAGCAGCCTAAAAATATCCCGGATTATGATTTCGAAGTTTTGTCCGTTCGATGTACGAACAGTCGTGTGCAACCTTTAATCATACTGCTCATAATTTGCCAGACAGACATTCAGTCGATTGAAAAAGATCTGATGCCTACCGAAAAGCTCTTATTTCGAAAACAATTGTGAGATAGTGGTTGAATCGGTACTCGACAAATTTCCAAATTAGACGCAGAACTAATCCACAAGATTCCTTACTTGAAGCAGGCTGAATGTCGGCTGAGAGATTTGTTAGTTACCGTGAGGTGCTAAGTTTGTAATTGTACTCCACTATTCAATCAAAGACTGATGAGCAATATCAAATAATTTGAAAAAAACTTGCGTCTCTTATAATCCCGTTGGCTAGCTGAGCTTACCGAAATTAGTACTGATGACGCTGAATGATAACCGTTGACCAGCCTCTTTGCTTAGAATAGATATCACCTCTTTGTACCCATCGTCAATTATATCTGTTGATCTGCGGAAAGAGAAAAAGAAGTTCGCTACGCCATTCAACTTCACTTACCGAAAATAAGTCAGTTCACATGCAGCTGTTCAATAATAGCTAATAAGCAGTTCATACAACACTTGGAAAAAATAGGAGAGATTTTGGCGACACACAAATACGTATTCACTAGTGACGTATAAATTACTGTGTTGAGTGGAGCTCTGCTGACGGGTGCTTCTCTTGTTTCGCACGTGTTTCTGCAGAGGCTCCTATAAATTACTATCCATCATTCCACTGAATTTGGTTTGTGTATCTTCACTGAATACACTCAATTATGTCCGTCGAACTACGTGAACGTTCTGCAAAAACAGCAGTTTGGCTTTCAGCAACCAAAACTGAGCATTTAGTCCTTGTAGGTCAAGCTAGATGTTTCTGTCTATACTGTGCTGGTGTTTGAAGCTACTGGAGTGAACTTGATCCGGTAGTTCACGAACCGTATGGCGCATGAAGTCTGTAGAGTTATTGTAAACTTAGAAAAATTTTCTGTATGGTGGGCCAACAGAGGTGTCTGGACCGTACAGTCTATTCTTTGTAACATCTTTCTGTACATTCGCAAATTTCGGTTTTGATACATATGGTTAGTTTGGCTTAAGTTGGCGATTCGTGTTGGACCTAATTTTCTTTGCTTCCTTTTATTTTTGCCAATAATAATAATAATAATAGTTGCGGGTCTACCCTTCTCAAAAACTCAAAATCCTAGGTCGATAGAAGATTCTAAGATAGCCGGTGGGGATATCAGCTGGTATGGTTCAGGTTATTTTGTTATCTGTGAACCACCAAAGAAGTGACAGTGAATTGTCTTGATTAGTTTCACCTATTTTTAATTGAATCTCTCAAGTCTAGAGATGCTCTAATCAGCATATCCCGCTCTACTATTTCACTAAGATGGCTGCACTAGTAGTAATCCGACTGTTGGTCTTCATCTGGACCACTCATATCAAAGTGAAAAGTGTGGGTATCCCCCAGGTAGCAGTTTTATTGTAAGTTATCGGGAGAAGTGTTTGAGACAATGACAGATGAGACCAGTGTCTCGATTTCAAGGTACTAGCGCTGGTGCTGGGCGTTATGCCACCAGACTTAGACATGCTGATAGTTCTCAACAGCCCTCCCATAGTTACTCGCCGACTTTATTCCTTCAGTTTACGTCAGCGTCTGCGGCTTCACATGTTACACCACCTTCAACCCGGTAAAAACGGCTTCAGCAGGCAACCAGAAGATGCACCGCTGTTGAACAGTGGATCAGTTTCGGATGCCAGCTAGCCACGTTTAGTAACACAGCTTTCGAAACTCTCATATGGCAGATGACTTCGGTTATTCGGGTTGCACGCACTGTTCGAAGTCGACGCGCTCGTCCATCAATCGGTTGCATTCCTCGCGGAATAGTTATGGGACAGTAAAGTTAACAGGGTCTAGTTGAAATTCTCCTGGAAATTCAACTAGACAAGACGGATTTGGTTACACAGGTGTCACCAAATTGGCATTTGGTCCTGTCTGTAGGTTCGTTTAAAATGCTTTCTTATGAGTAGACGTGGAATACTTTTTGAGCTAATCTCTTCAGAATCGCCTATCTCGGATAAAATCACTCTGCTTTGCACGATCAAGTTCATCTCAAGCGTTACTTGGGCTTGCGATTCTCATTGCTTCAGTGTATTTGATGTTGTTCGCCGCATTGCATATCTTTCAATTAAGATGATTCTCCTGGGAGTTTTCTACTAGGAGCAACGTAGGCCAACAGAGAAACAGTTAGGCATTTCGTGTTTGTTATCCCGATCTGGTGTGACACAATCTACACTCAGTGTGGATATCGTCACCTTGTTGGTACTCGGGCAGAGAACGTGATTTATGCTCCTGATCGTATAGCAATATGTAGGACTTGTAAGGTCCTCAAAAACTAACGGGAGTGAAAAAATCATGATGTTCCCTTGTTGAGGACGTCATCATTTTCCCAACGGAAGCGCAACTGCTTGTTCATCTAGAAATTCGCCTTATGAAACCTTTGTTGTAGATAGAGATACAAACGTGAGGATGGTAGGTTTGACCCATTCGACTACTTTCTGATCTACTCAGAACTCAGAACATATGATATATATATACTAATATATACTGATGTCTCACTTCAATCGATGTTTGCAAATGATTTTATTGTTGCCGTCACCAACAAGCACTATCACCGTGTCACTTGCGGATGGCCTTGAACTTCTCAAGCAGAGCTGAATGACAAACGTGCTGGGATCACTCGACCACGTCTAGAAGAAAATATGGAATGTTTTAAGTAGAAACTACCAAGATCACGCAATTCAATGCATAGCAACCAATGAGTCTGTTCTCTTTGGTGATATTTGTACGCTATAAATCTATTAGGCATTATTAGGGCACAGTTTTTTTTAAAAAAAATGATGAGATTTGGATCTCAGCCTGCTGACGAAACATCAAGTGAATATTGGCCATGAAACCGACAGTTGAGTGTACCTGTTTTGGTAAACACATTTATGTACTTTCCTCAACTTCCAGTAAGAACCTCCATGTCGCTTCGTGTCCCAAACAAGAGCAGTAATGATGATAACATTAATCAGACATTCGCTAAATTTGGGAAAATTCGGTAAATATCGGTTCATCCCAGACCAATGTTTCAGTTCACTTCGACGGGGTATTTCAGAATCGAATTAGTCTGTTCTGGAGGGTAGGCTAATAGGGTAACTATGAAAGGGAACTGGTCGGGCCAAAAAGAGTAGCTCACTATTCGTTTCGGCCGAATTTGGACTTATCTGATGGTTGTAACAGGATTTGACCACTTGATATTCATTGTTGTTCGCTTAACCGCACACCATATCACGTCTCAATTCCGCGGATGGTGTTTAACTTGCTTGTTACACTGTTATACACAGTCCGCCAACATGAATGTTTGTACAAACCTAACTAGATAAATTGATGCGGTAAGTAAAGACACCAGAGGCCTAACTCTTTCTTGCTTGGTTAGCACACGTGTTGAAAGTGGTTTGAAATCAGATAATTGTTCCGAGCTCCCATCAGATCTTCTGTGGGGACCGTGAAATATTTTTGAAAGTTTCACGAAATCCCATCTCCTACTTTGAAACGGATTTGGTACATATGGGTGATGGTTTCAACCGAAGACTGGAAAAAGCCCTTGTTCTATAGTGGTCTCCATTCAGTTATGGTCCGTAAACGATATCTGCGGAGTGAAATTGTGTTTTCTCATGAGGCTTTTGGCTAGGGAACATTGTGTGCACGCAGATTCAACAAGAGCCATGAGTTAACTTGCTGTCGCTCACTGGCAGATGATCTGTCCGCCGAGCTTGGGGTATATATTAACCAGAAATAAAGCCACTCAAGCTACCAATATTTAGACATACTGCCAGTGAGTTTATTTACGGTTGATCTCGTTAACTATTATTTTTCTGCTGATGATAGGTAACTTTTGGCAAAAGTGAACACAGCTTGTTCACCGGATGTACCCTTAGGAGTGATTCTACATTTTCATGTCTTCCTTTTCTCCAGTGCCCTGGTGGTTTTACCTCGAGGACCCTTCTGTAATCTTCTGAACATCTGCTGTCATCTTATTGAAACAACAATCATCATTGGACACAATGAAATCCACTTCTCCCGACCTGGATTGGGCATTTAGCTGCAGAAACACTTTTAGAAAACAAGATCGTAAAACCGGACGTTCGGCGATTAACGTGGTTCGAAAAAGATCTTTGAACCCTGAGTCACTGTCTGACCAAAGAGCGGTCTTGTTTCATTAGAATCCTTAGACGAATTTTGGAACGAGGTAAAATTTCAGAGACAGAACACCCGCTTACCTGCTCCACTTCAAGAACATATTTTGGGATAAGACGAACCGAATCAAGTAGCTGCTCACCAAACGGCGGGCGTTTCTCCAATATCTACAATGGAATTCGGATTTCCCTTTTATTATACAGTGAAAGCCGTCACCGCTCAATTCAATGCATTTCATCGCATAATACTTCCTCCCCTCTTACCCTCTCTAGCTCTGATGTTGAGGTGTTCTCAATCGAGTGTAGAGTCATCAACCCAGCAAGCATTAGCTTTTCAATATCAGTTGTTCCCAAATGCTGCAAATTAAGCAAGCTTGCAAATGGTTGGTTCATCCATGCAAGGAACTGCAAAGTTTTCTTAAACTCCAATATGTTAATCATACACTTGAATGCAGACGATGCGGCGGGGACTGGTGCAGTAGTGTCGAGTTTGGCTGTGGACGGCTGGTCTTCTGGGGAATTTGGGTCATCCAAATCAAGCCACAGTAGGCCTGCCAAACTGAAACGAA